TCATGACTTTACCAACCTACCATCACTTTACTTTTTAAAACATTTGTATGCAGCTTTGAAAAGCTTTAGCAAGTATAGCATAAAAAGCCTGAATCCATGGGACCTAAATAATAAGTGAATATTTAATGCAGTCCAAGCAGTTCTTTGGAGTGCTGATAATTGTGCCATATATTGTACAGCCCTATTGTATTTAGACTGTACTGAGAGTCATGAAAGCTAAATGTTTTCTTTATGACTGTACAACAAGATGGCTGTCCGCCATGACTGCAAACATTTCCCAATCCTACATCCTCCATGACGGATAGAATTAGACTTCAGAAAAGTAGAAACAGGGAACTTTGTTGTAATACATATGGTTTCCTGTTTAGACAGCAGTTTAAGGCCGCCATAAAAACTGATTTATTTTTCTAAAAGCTTCTAACAGCTTTTTTGATTTCCCTAACCTTATTTTTAAACATCTTAAAATGGCTACCTTTGAGTCTTCCTCCTTCAATACAAACTTCGACACTAAAAAGTGTTGTCAGTGTGACCCGGTAACTCTTCAGTGTGATTGGAATAAAACAAAATGAAGATTTTAGTTTCCAGTCCAGTCACTGATCAGGGCCCATCAAGATAAATTTAGGCCAGATAAATTGGCAGGTCCAGAAGAAAATTGGTACATTCTGGTCAACAGCCGATTCTAATTGGCTCTTCCATACCTGAACAGTGTGATGCATTTAAAAACAGAGGCCGCTGAGCACTGTATGGACATTTGATTGCAGTACATAAGGGTGAGTTTGTCCCCACCAACCTGTGACTTATCAGAAAAGTCTTGGGAAAAAAAAAAACAGAACAGAAACACTATAAATGCAGCTGTCTAAACATCTCAAGACCTGCTGACCTGTTTCATCTCAGATCAGCCTTCAGCGCTTTTCTCTACCTGACAGGTGCTTCTTTTTGTCCACCGCCGACACTTTCATGTGGAAAGCATTTTTAAACGCTTTCACTCCCAAGGTCCCTCTATACGTCTCTCATTTTTATCCCTCAGACTTATAAATCTCCCATATCCTGTGACCTTACGTGGCTTTTTCCATCAAACATGCTTTCCATCCTACGCTCCTCAGTCTCCACCAGGGTGGCGTCACTGTAGCACGCTATCAAACGGATCCTTTTATTGCTCTCCCGCTGCAGCTGTCAAAGGATTGAAGTTCAGATTTGCTTTGGGGCAGACTAAGCAGTTTTTGTAGTAAATCTCTGGTAAGCATGACTGAAAAGTATCCAATAAATGCTTAAACATCTTGGCAAAGAAATATGCCTAAATTTTAGTCGCATTTTAATGTTCTCACTTTGTGGAAACTTATTTTGCCAAGGCACGTCATTACTTTCAAATACTCACTAAAGAGTAGTTTTTTCTTTGTCTGTCTTGGCAAGATTTAAATGAAAATCAGGCTCAACAGAAAGGGTTTGAAACTTAAATCTTTTCAGCAGAATCACATTATTGTCAGATTGTTGGACAGAGGAGCTGGATGTTGGCATCAGTTAGACTGTTCGAAGCGACAGGAGAGTGACAGGTGTCTGACAACCGTGTGCCACCTGGGTTCTCCTTGGGCCTGGGTCCTTCCTACAGCTTCCATTCACTTGTCTCACTCGCTATGAGAATGATGCGATGGAGTGAGAGCCAGACAAGCCTGAGAGCCTCCGAGGTAATTACAGTCTCTACAGATTCCCCTTCTGATCTCACAGAGAGTGAACAGAGAGGGAAGAGAAAAGAAAAAGCAACTGAAGGGCAAATCAGCAGGTGGTATGCTTCATTACATCTTATTAAAAGAGTAACACATTGTTCAGGTTGGACTGCTGCAGAGCACAGCAATACAATTACGTAAAGGCCAATGTCATGGGTTCGAGAAGGCTTCTTTTTCTCTGTCAATTAGCATTTCAAATATGGCAATAATGACCTCAAAAATACCATAAAGTATAGCACCAACCTTCAAATGTTATGTCCAACATGTTTATTATGAAATTAACCATGTATAACCCTTTATTACCATAGCCATACAGAATACTATTGGCTTGTGGTACATGAGGTTACTGTAATTCTTACTACAGAATTATCTCACGTAATAATTAGACAACACAATTTTCTGTGTCAATTAATAGATGTATTGTTCTCCTTACAAAACAGTTTTTTTTTTTTGTTCCAGTAAGTTTATTTCGTTTCTTGTCTGGTGTTGAAGCTCTGTGGTTTTATTGCTTCATCTTGAATTAAAAATGAAAATCTACCTCAGGAGTTTTAAACATAGGAAACAGAGAGAAATGATGCTATATAATGCTGGAAATGATTTGCTGTAAACCCTCTAGTGTCTCTTCTTATCCATGTGCATCTCAATAAATAAAAATATTCAAAAAGTTAAACTCTTGAATTTTTTACACACATAGTGTTATAAGTCCAGCATTTCTTCCTGTTCATTTTGATGATTGCTTACAGCTAATGAAAAATGATCTTGACTGTCTTGGGCTTGTAGCTCAGTTGATCCCTTTCACTGTGGAGAAGCAGAAGCTCCTCGTCTTGCTGCCCCTGGATGACAGAGCCCGTCACCCTCTCTATAAAGATTAGCTCATCCACCTTATGGAAGAAGCTGATTTTATTTGTCAGGTTAATTTGCTCATCACTAATATGTCATGAGCAAAGGTTAGGGTTAGAATATGGATGGAGAAATCACCAGCTTTGCTTTTTGCCTCTGCTTTTTCTTCATCACAACAGATTAGAGCAGTGCCCCACTCAGTCTATCCATCTCTCGCTCCATCCTACCACTAGTCGTGAACTAGACAGCAAGATATGTAACCTTTTCACTTGAGGCACTGACTGACTCTCAACCCAGAGGGAGCCTACCAGTCTTTTCCGGTTACAAACCTTGTCCTGAAACTTGACACCACCTTTCTATGACTACGCATGGAGATCCTGTTCATGAACACCACAAACTGGATTGGTTATCAAGGAACACCCATGCAAATTCCAACATGCAACAAGCTCGATTTTGTGCTTAGAATGTGGGCATTGCTTTTGCTTTGGACATACATTAAAGAGATAGACCTTAAAGCAACAAGACGCTATGTATTCCCATTGCACGCCACACAAAATACCTTGAAAGAAACAGACATTAGCTTTCTTCAGATTCACAGAACACATACGGACCAGGCAACTTAAACTGCCACGACTCCCTTAGCTATTCTGAAAGGGCAAAGGTCTGGTTCACTGTTTTAAGGCCAGGACAAAAGCCACACTGCTCCTCCTGAATCCGAGGCTGATATGAGACAGACATACTGTTCCACGCACTTATGTAATCTTTCTCAGGACGACTGAGATATATGATCCCTTGATAGTTGGAACACTCTCTGATCCCCTTACTTAAAATTTGGAACCACCTCGCAGTGCTGCCATTGATGTTTTCCCATTCCTCTATGCGAGATTGAACAGGCGTGTCAACCATGAAAGCCTCACAATGTGAGCAAAATCTTAATAAATTCTGAAATCTCTAACAACATAAAAATAAACTTAGCATTGACACCATCTCCCTGTCGTCACCTGTCATTTATGTGCTATGTTTTATGTGTTTGTGCAGCTGCAAACAGAAGCTGTACTCGGAGAAGCTGCCAAACACCAGCATCATCATCCCATTTCATAACGAGGGCTGGTCGTCGCTACTGAGGACCGTTCACAGCGTGCTTAACCGCTCTCCTCCAGAGCTAATCGCAGAAATCATCCTGGTCGACGACTTCAGCGACAAAGGTACGGGGGAAACACAAAACACCCAGACATGCCCACACAGACTCTCATTAGCACAGCCGTTGGGATCTTCCGCTAATATTTGTATTTTTACTGGACCATGTCTTTTTTTCTTTGCACACAGACAGCTGCTCATACTCACAAACCACTGAGTCATTTGTTTGCAAGGTTTGTTGACTGTTAGTCAAATAATGATCTGCTCAGAAATAAAAGCACCAGCCTGCATCGCAGGGAGCCAAATGAATTTTTAAGACACTTGCGTATGTACTTCATAAACAAGATGGGAGCATAGACGTGCTGGTGAGTCACTGTTTTTGAGACACGTCCCACAGGTTTGTTAGATACACAGAATATTTTCAACATTAGAGACATCTGAGAATTTTTGACTTTACTTCTCTACCCTGCAAATAAATGTGCTCTTGCATGGCCACGTCAAACTTTGTTGTTTCATTTGCTGGAAAGCTAATCATTACTGTCAAAATTCCTGATGTGTGGAAGTTTGTACTTGATTACAATCTCAAAGAAATGCCAATCTTTGTAAATGTTTTTGGTGCATTAAAAGCCTGATAAATGCTGCCAGAATTTATGTATTCTATATATCGATGTCAGTCATTTACCACTGCAGGAAATTTCAGTAACTCCGAGGGCTGTCAAGATCTATGAGACACACAATGGCTTTTAAGAATATTTCCTTTCTCAACAATGATGGTCTCAGAGTGTGAACCAGTTTTTAAATTGTTATAGAGCTCCTCTGGTGTTAGAGCAAATCAGTAAAGAGATCTAGGTCCTTGTATACAGTATGTTCTGGTGCACTTCACTTACTGCATTGTCCTTGTAATCTGTAAATAACACTAGACAGAAAGCCCACCACTATTTAACAGCTGGTAGCAGAATAACAAACACACTGAAAGAGCTTTTTAAAGATATAAACTTGACCACAAAGTTTAAACTTCTCAGCTTGAATTTAAAGTGGTATGTTTATACATTCTTAGGTTTTGTTGAGCCATGCAGATGGCTGTCGAAAATTATGTTTGCCAAACAACGCCGTGAAGTCTGCAACAGCTTTGCAAAAATCTCGTCCTACTGGTATCGCAGCTTCCTTTTTAGCGAGAAATGCCATTCGTGAAGTTGAGAATTTTTTTTTTTATATATGAATTTTGTTGTGGCACTAGAGGCCTTATTTTTCATTTTTCGACAGTAGGCAGGCAGGAAAGAGGGGCAAAGACATTCGGTAAAGCGCACCGGGTCTGGGACTCGAACCCGGTACGGCTGCATCGAGGACCATAGCCTCTATATATGGTCATGCACTGAACCCCTACACCACCAGCGCCGCGCCCATGAAGCTGAGATTTATGTATAAAACAGCAGTAACTGGCAGAGCCTTGGAGCTGTTTGGTGTAAAAGCCTGTATTGACTGCCAAAAAGTTTGAAGCAATAGATTTCTGGATTTCAGTTGAGATTTTTTGCTGGATTTTAGGGTCATGATAAAATATCTCAATTAAATATTTGTTAATTATTTCCCACTGTTTACATACATCAACCTTCTTCAGTTTAAACATTTTAGAGCACACCCAAAAGATTATTCTGTGCTGCCCTTGTTGCAAAATGCAGGGATTTGGATGGGCAGAGGAACAAGTTCACAGTGCAAGTTCAACCGTAGAAGACAGCTCAATAACATTGGTCTTCAAACCTTATCCTCAGAATGACATGAAACAAAGTGTGCTGGGAAGAGCTTTGACCTGCTAATATCTCAGCTATTTTTTTGATAGCAGTCACATCATTGTTTTTTTTCTGCGCCATGATTTAAGTACTCAACTTCATTTGAACATGCTTCTAATTAGGGATGGGTACCGAATTCGGTACATTTTTAGGTACCGACTGAATTCCGTCGATACTACTGAGTACCGATTCACGTAAAATCAAACGGTACCATGTTTTGGTACCTAAACACATCATTGTGACACTGAGGGAGAGGACGAGTGGGCGATTTTCCATGCCGAACATGAACACAGCATTGCACACATAAGAGCGTAATGACGTCAGTAGCTGCTGGTACCGTAAACAAAGCAAGCATGGCTGATAGAAAGCCCTGGAAAGTATGGCTCCACTTTTCAAAATGCGATACATATTACGCTCGCTATGTGCAAGACCAGCGGCGAGAATACTTCTAATCTACGGAAGGACCTGCAGTGTTTCCCCACCGCTATCAAGGGGGGCGCTCCGCACCGCCAACCAGACTACTCTGTGTCACCAACGCTGACACACTGTGTTACGTGCGCTCGCACGCAGGTGAACACAAGCTCCTGACAGTGGACAGAAAATCATGCGCTAAAACCTAGAAAGCGGGCAAGGATATCTGCAGTTTTAAAAAGCACCAAATTTAGTTTTGATGGCAGCACTTCCTCTCCTGCGAGCAGCAGTAGGGCTAACTCTCCTACCCCAGTCACCACCGAATAACAATTTTTCACCTCGCTTGGTGAAATTATCCCCCTGGATCTATAAGACTGGCTTGGTAATTAAATACATACATGATAGATAGAGAAAAGAAAGAAAGATACAAAACCAGATAAAAGATGTGATAAAGAGACAGAAAGATGAATATAGACATACTATATAAATACAGTAGATAGAAGATAAATAAACATTTCAGAGTTGTTGTTTTTTTTCATAAGAATGTTCTGTCAAATATGTATAGAGCTTAAACAGGATGCAGTCAGAGGAAAACATGGGCCCAGCCATTTATATATTCTTCTGTGTGTGTGTATACACACTGACCTGGTTAAGCACAGGATTTTTGTCAAGGCTGAAAAGACAATTTTTGTCAGCCTCAGATCTACTGCAACAACTCCTCCATTCAGCACTGTTAGCACGCCTGCATTCGTTAGCGACTCGTCTGCAGCCTGGCTGGGTTTTAATTAGTGCATTACACTGCGTAGTCAGTTAAGGGTTTTAATGTTAAAGAAATGTTTGAAACATCTGAGATGTTACAATACAAACAGCTGGATGTTGTTTTGATATATTCCTTAAAGTTTATGTAAATAACTATGTTAAACTGAAAGTTTTTGAGATTTTATTATTAAACGAATTAATATTTATTACCACATAAACAAACACAAAAGTACCGGAAACTGGTACCATTGACTACCGGTACCGATTCCCTGGTACTGATAATCGGTACCGTGTTGGTTCAAATGTGAAAGGTACCCATCCATAGTAAGAAAAGTGCTTGGAATGGAAAAATCTGAGTTAAAAATAAAACTCAAGATTTGTACTTTAATATGTAATGTAATTTCTTTTTGTTAGAATTGAAATTATTAAACTGGTATTGAAAAAGTATTGTTCAGGGACCGATATCGAAGTGAAGGTATCGATATTGGTACCGGTATCGAAAATGTTTGATTGATACCCAGCCCTACTTCTAATGCACATCTACCTTTTCTTCTGCTAAACTATATTATCCAGTAGTTTTTTAATATGCTAACCTTCAAAGTTACTGTCTTCACATCCCTTTATAAAACAAATTTTTAGCGTGGAACCTAGAGTAAACGGTGACAGTGTGACCCTGCTCCTGTTAGTGAGGTTACTGCAGAATAATAATACAGTGTCTCTCACAACGGCAGCTTAATCGGTTTGAACTCTGGAGTTAAGCTCCTGCTTTGAACCCTTGCATAATAAATCTAGGGACAAGTGCGGCATTATCAGAGTAGATGTGAGAACAAGATATTCATCATGAAGCCCGTTTCATGGACACTGCAGGAAGCACAATTTCCTGTCCTCTTTTCTATTACCTTAGATATTAACTGATGTGCTGAGGTTATACAGGGAGAGGAGATACGGGATGGAAAAGTGTTTTTATTGAGTTCAGCAGCGAGTTCCTGTTTCTATTTTTTCCTCATACCTGATCCAGTGCTGTCACTTGCAGCTTCCTGGTGTAAAATCTCTTACCTCAACAGACGCTGGACCATGTCTTTATTAATTGAAACAGCTTTGTTTTGTTGCCTCGCCAGTGACACAGTAATAACAGAAATGTTTTTCTAAGTTTTATTTTCTGACTGGCTAATTAGTAACCACTTCCTGCATTATGTTGTGTAATTATAGCCGTGGTGCAGAGCCGTGTTTCAGAACATTAATATCATAATTAATGCATCTGTTCAGATTTGACTCTGAGGATACCTGGTGGTTTATATTTATTTCGACGCTTGCTTTGCTCTGCTGTAGCTTCCTTTCTGGAAAAGGCTACTCTCTGTGTCCAGGAATCATGCCTGAAGGTGAACTCATGAAGTGGGTAAACTTTGGCTTTATGCTTCTTCCTTTTACCTTACAACCAAAGGTGCTCAGCAGCTTTGATGCACTTCTCATGTCTTTACTTTACATTTTGCTTTCAGATAGACAGTCCCGTAATATTTTAGAGTGGTTTTGATCAAAGGTTCTCCAGGACTTTCTCAAGGTTTTTCAGTTTTCTGTGTATTTTCAGCTGCTTTTTACTGATTTTCAAACAGGTCTTTGTACCTGATCGTGATGGATCCCAAGGCATTTCCAGGCCAGAGGTCACATATAAAGGATATATACTCTGTCCATTGAGTTGTGGATCTGACCGGGGTCCAGATGGAGGCATCCAGACGGAGATATCCTGGAGTCATTCTCATCCGCTCCAAACCACCTAGCCTGAATCTTTTTGATGCAGCGGATTGGACTTCAGAGATTCAGTTAAGGCTAAGGCTAAGACCAGCCACCCTACACAGGAAGCTCATTTCAGCTGCTTGTATTAGGGAGGTTCTTCCTTAAGTCATGAACCCTCTCTCATGAACACTTGTTAAGTTGGGACTAATAAATCAAGAATCTTGTCTAACTATGAGAGTTGTCTCAAAGCAGAGCCTTCATTACTGCAGGTAGGACACCAATCCGTCTATCCATCCTCAGCTCCAGCCTACCAAAACGACAAGAAACTTTTAACTCCACCGCTTGAGGAAAAAACTACATTTATTTGTCTTAACTTTAGTTTGTTATAAAATGGCTTCAGAAAGCATCAGCTCCTCTCCTCTCCTCTTCATCTCATCTTTTGTTTTAACATCTCATTTCATAAGTCAAGGGGAAATGGGCCTCTTTTTTTCCATCACACCTGCTGAGTTTTTGCCCTGAAGCTCAAACAGCATGAAATGGATAAGAATAATAAAAACAGTAAATTTAATATAAGTGATATTGCAGTGAAAGCTTCTTTATTCATTTGTGTGTTCTTCTTTATCTGTGTATCTCAGATGAACTGAGCTGCTGAGAAATAGTGGACCACATTAGAGTCATGTCATTAAATAGTTATGAACAAAAAACCTGTGGCAGGAATCTGATGACCTGTGCTAAAGGAAGTGATGTAAAGGGTTAGTCAATTTTAGTATTCAAGATGAAATCGCATGTTTGGAAACATTTGGATTGACTAAAGCATTCCATAAAGTGGTTGATGGGCAGAGGGAAGGTGAAAGTGGGTGGACTAAGTTCCTGAGTGCTTGAGAGTTTCCAGCATCACTGTGGGAGTAATATGCAACAGTAGATACACATCATTATTAAGCTGAGTAGGCAGAGCCTACACACAGTTTTAATACCAGACAACTCAGTCAATGCTTCTGCAGAGAAAATAACATCAGCATTTACCATCGCTGCCTTGAGAAGTTGAGAAAAATTGACTTCTTCCGTCACCAGTATTTGACATTTAAATTACCTATACATGCACCCATATTCATCTGTTTTTGTTACGCATCACATTACAGGCTTAACGTGATGTCGCACCGCTTACTGCTCACTCTTTACCTCATGCTACCTTTGTCACTCTTGCTCGCCCACACTTACCTCCTCGTTGCCGGAGGAATTCATTCAGGCAGAACACTGAATCACAGATACAACGCAAGCATCGGAACCTGCAGTTTTGATTTTCTCTCTCCTCCTCATGCTTCCAGGTAACAAAAGAGTGTAACCCAACTGGTGAACTCTGCATGTGTGTCAGCTAATAGATGCTGTAAAGTTGCCCAGTTTAGCAGATTTCATGTTGTTGAGAGAGTTTGCTTTATTGAAGACACAACTTCCCAAAGCTAGACTTGCTGAGAGCTAGTCTTTAAGAAAAATAATAACACATACATGCAACTGAATTTAAATAGTCACTGAATAGAAGTAAACCCTATTTAATTCCAGGTTTTTTTTAATAAAGATTATGTCAGGTTTAAACAACCTACAATACTTATAACATCACAAAAAGAAGAGAAAGACAAAGAATTAGTTATTTACTCACTGCGAGGAGAACGGATAGAGATGTTTTCAGTTACAATCTCTCCACCGCTCTGAAAA